CAATAATACCAACTTGGGCCAGTGAAGCAACATCCTCCACAACTAGACTGAAGAACAAAAGGACAGCAACTTGTCTGTTCTCATTCCTCAATTCCCCAGCGCTGTTCCCATCCCCCCAATTCCCCAATAAAAATCTTTAAAAAAATAAAAAAGTAAAAAATGTGTACATAGCTGTATAATAACATCGAGCAGTCATATGACTGGTTTTCCCTCTGTAGTCATTTTCAACTTCTCTGCCAGTGGCTTCTCCATGTGACCACTCTTATACCGCTACTATTAACTTTTCAACGTTAGAAATCTCTCTTTACTGTCTCTTCTCTCCCCTTTCCCTTGTGTTTCCAATATATTACAACTTTTATTTAACTTAATCAGTCTTTATATTTTATGAACATGTAAATATTCTATCACGTATTCTTTCTCATACAAGCTTTTGTTTTCCTGGGAGTATAATGATTGTTTTGACTTTCCTTTTTGATCAGTCATCTAAAATGTAAAAATTTTTAGTCATTGCTTATCTGAAAATGTTTTTCATAGTTGGCTGGAGATTTGTTTAGGCATATAATTCTGGTTTAATTTCCTTCAGAATTTTGAATCTTTCCTTTTGTCCTGTCTTACAGTGTTGCTGTTGAGAGATGTAATTTTCTGAAAGCCTTTTGGATCTTTGAACTTGATTTTTTTTTTATTTGGTTCATTGTATTTAGTGGTTGAAATTCTGTATAACTGTCTATTTGGTGAATTTCCAACCCCAGAATCTAGCATGGTTTCACTGTATAGTCATCATATATATGTAAATTATATTTGACATTCAATATAATTTTATATTAGTTTCAGGTGCAAATACATCTTGAAGTTGGTAATACTATTTGAGACTGCAGGCCCTAACTGGTTATAATCCTTCAGGAAAAACCTTCAGAATCCAGAACAAATGTAAGACTCTTAAGGCCAATATGAAAAATGCCTTTTTTAATGAAGAAATAATGGCTGTCGTTGGATAAGGACAGTTTAAAGTCAGACTGTGTATCTGTAGTAATGGAATGCCAAGTTCAGTGTGCCTAAGGATCACCTGGTGATGCTTGTTAACCATGTAGCTCCCTTGATCCCCAATGAGCCTGATGTGGCACTAAGAAATTTGCAGTTTTCCAAGCAGGGATGGTGGTCCTGAACCATTTTACAAACTGCAGTTATATGTAAAACTGAAGGAAACTCTTCAGGCAGTGTGAATGGAGATGGATGCTAATTTAAACTCTCTCTTTTTTTTTTTCACATACACAAATTGGTAATATGTTTAGATAAAAGAAATATATATAATCTGTATGCACATTTTTACATATGGTGTTTAAGTCTATGGGATTATACTGGACATCCTCTTAAGCAAATAATAGGCTGATCAGCACCTGCCATTAAACATGGGACCGTGCTGTGTGGTGATTATTTATTTACATGTCTCCCTGCCAGCACCCGGCACAGGCTTTGAAACAGTCTATTTTTAAGAACTTTTTGAATGATATGCGGGAAAGTGTTACTTCTGTAGAAATTCTTTGCTCTTGGTGGTTCCATGTAGAAAAGTAGAATGAATAATTATACGGGCCTGGAGTGATCTTTCTTTTTGTTATGTTCTTTGATATGTTTTATAACATCATATTTGGCTATCTTTATTCCTTAAAGATTCAACTATTGTGGAAGAGAACAATTAGGATCCTTGCTTGAGATTCAGCATAAATCAATCGTGTTATCTATATTCAGAGTTTAATAATGGTTCCTTTAGTTTGGGGTTAGCTTAAAATTTATCATGTGTTTATCTGTGAGCCAACAAATTTGTTTGGCATAAAGGAAGCCAGCACTTTAAATCTGTTTTTAAAGTACTTTTATCAACAACTCTTGGCATGTAGTACATGTGTTAATTACATATTCATATTTACTTAATAAAATAATTCTGATCCAACCTCTTGCTTTTGTTAGCTGTTAATATATGTACATAAAAATTTCAAGTGTTGGATTTTCATTTTTTAATTTGGGAAAAAGTACAATATGGCTATAGTAAAGAAAACTTAAAAGCTGAAATCACCTATCATCCTTTCATCTGCATAAAAGCTACATTCCCCCAAAGAATTTATGTTTTAGATTGGCTGGGGTAGCCTATTGATTGTTTTAATCACGTGCCTCTAAAACGTCATAACCATTGTTTTCTTATCTCCTAATATATTTATGAAAATAATGGTTTAATGATTCAGTTTAAATTCTCTTGTCATTTCAGACAGTGTGGAGGAGACTTGAAGAATACTATATCGTTTATAAGAATTTCTAGTGTGTGTTAACCCTTAAAATTCAAGTGACTCTTAAAGTGGTATCTAATAAAGTAACATTTAGCCTCTTTTGCTCCTCCATTAAAAAAAAACTCAACTTTTGAGAACTTTAAAAAAAATGTATTTCTTCTCAGCAATTAAATATTAAATGCTAGAAATACTGCTTTGTCAGCTGTTATTGAAGCGCACACACACTCAAAAAATAAATGGTACTTGGTTTTGGAACCCCCTTTTAATACTTAAGCATATGCATGTGTGAGCCCATATTCACAGGTCGTAGAAGCTCTGTGGCAGCTGTAGATATGCTAACAGCAACAGAACCATTTCTCTGCTTGTCATTCTGTCCTTTGCAAGAGCATGTCAGGTAATCGTTGACTTTTGAGTGTTGCTATGTGTACTGAAATAATAATGTTAAATTTTCTGCTTCAGTAATATGCATTAATAAAATATATTAGAAAAATAAAACCTTTGTAACTCTTGGTAACCAAAACAGATTTGATAGGATAATATGAAAGTACCACATGCTCGCAGAGAAATCTTTTTGAAGTGATATTAACCTAATGTGATTACCAGAAAAAGCTGTTTGGTTTTTTTTGTTGTTTTTTTTAAAGATTTTTATTGGGGAATTGGGATGGGAACAGTGCTGGGGAATTGGGGGAAGGGGAACAGACAAGTTGATGTCCTTTTGTTCTTCAGTCTAGTTGTGGAGGACGTTGCTTCACTGGCCCAAGTTGGCACCATCATTGCGCTCTTCCCAGGCGAGGCAGATCAGTCGCCGGCTTCTGGACGGCCGCTCACTGCAGCTGCTGGCCGCTCACGCTGGCTGCTGGCTACACACGGTAGCCCATGGCAACCCACTGCCACAGGGACTGCAGCCTACGCTGTCGCCGGCGACTCACGGCAGCCCAGCTCCAGGTTGAGCTGTTGTTCAGCATCTTAGCTGTGGAGGGCAGTGTCACTGGCCCTCATATGTGGGATCCGAACCGGGGCCCTCTGGTGTCCCAAGTCAGTTCTTAATCATCGCGCCACTTGGCCGGCCCAGAAAAAGCTGTTTTTATGAGAGGAAAAATTTTTGAATTTAAGAAATACAGCATTGCAAAATGTGAGAGAACGGTACTTTTTTTTTTTTTTACCTGTTCAGCATTTTAGGTAATTTTCCCTTGGAATTGTTTTTCATTCTGATAATCCAACAGCAGCTCTTCTAGCTTCCTATTTAATGTAATATGTGTGTGTTTGTTTTTGCTTGTTATTTTGTGCGGAGCAAGAAGTGACTTTTGTTTAGAAAATTAAATGACATTATGACATCTAGAAAATACTTTGTGAGCCCTGACCGATATCTATAGCTTGAATAGCCTATTGAAATTTCTCCTGTCAAATTTGTAGTTATATTGAATTCTTCAAGCTAGTGAGGACAATTTTAAAAGTGCTTGTAATAAATGCCTCTACCTGGATAAACCTTAATTTTTCTTAACTCGAGACAAGCCTTTTTTTCTTTTTTTTTTTTTTAAATAGACGTTCATTTCCAAACTCACAGCTAGTGCTTAGGATCAAAGGTAAATGCCATCAGACTTCAAGGTCTGTGAGCCTGTAGATCTTTATTTTGCCTCTTGCTCTGTAGAATTTCTCTGTTTAAATTTTAACTAGTCTTTAGAACCATTTCAATAAAGGTAAGTTAGTTAATCCTGATATGAATGTGTATGATTTTTGGTTGTCATATGCAGTGACTACTATAAAAATCTGAACATTATTTTAGGCACTGGTCTTTATGGGCAGAATGTCTTTGAAAAATATAAAATCACCTCATGTTTACTCTCTTTATAGACTCAGAAGCTGACTTAAATTGAAGGTTTCATTGTAATTTTCTTTTTCCTTGAATAATTAGGAAATAACCATAAAGTGTTTTATGTTATAAGAGTTTACTGTGTAACACAGTTTCTTGCATAGATTAGCCCCCCAATAAATGTCTGCAGAGACAAGTCTTTTGTTTTAGGTTAGGGAACCCCAGGATTGTAAAGCCAGTCTAAGTATATACATTTATATGTTAATATATTCCTAACTGCCAGGTGGTTTTCTTAATATCAATTTTTCATTTTGAATATTCCTTATTTTGTAATGTGTCATCACTGTGAAGGTGAAGCTGACTTTGTAACATTTATTTATTCACTTTTTCCCTCTTTCAACAGGGGGAAATGCAGTGTCGCCCTCCTGAATGAGACAGAGTCAGTATTGTCATATCTTGATAAAGAGGTAATTCACAATCCTGCTTGTTTTGTGTTTTTTTCCCCCTTTATTTCAAACGAAGCCCATACCTTTGAATTTATTTCTTGTACCAAATTATTGCACTGCAATAGCAGTGCATTTGGGTAATTTGATTTTTCTGGTTAACTGAGATAAGAGTTGGCAAAAACTCCTGTGTCTGTCTGTCTCTCTTTTAGTAATGAAAGGCTTTATAAAGTATGGCACATGGTTTAAGCTTGCAGTGGAAGAAATATTTTTGGCTTTATGAAAAAGAGACTTTACTGTACTTGGTCCTTCTTGGTTTTTTGTTTTGTTTTTATTGTTGTTGTTTTATGATAGCTTTTCTTTTAGACTCTTTCCAGATGAGATTTTACCATTGGTGGTCTGCTCTCTTATCTTAAACCTTAATAAACTTTGTCAACTAAAACTACTTCTTTCTGTAAACTTCAACAAGAAACATTTTAATATTTTTAACAAATGCTTCAGTGCAGGGAGGAAATTCTTATAAACAGAATATTCCTCGTTATGCAATTTTATGTGACTCATTTGCATTTGTATTATGGGAAAAATATTTTACTGTTGAGGATGTCTCAGTATTTAATCTTTATAGTTTCATGGTGTTTTTGTTTTCCCCAAATCTTTGTTACATATATGTATTTTTTAAAAAGAATTTAAAGGGACATTTCTTATCATACTCAAATATTACCCACTTAAATGAAGAAAACATAACCAAAAAGATAGATAAAAATACATAGAACTACTGTACATAAGAAATTATAATAAAGAAAACTAAAAGTAAATAAATATTCAAGACAGAAAAAAGCTAATAGTCTTTATAACTTACACTTCTGAAATTTAGAAAAGAAGCTAGTAGAGTTTGCCATCAGTCTGTCCAACAGAATGGTTGATAATAATATAGATAATGATAATGCTGAGAAATCGGCATTAGTTCACAGAAATAAAAGGAGGAAACACATTCAGTATGTTTAAGTGTGTTTTATTGGTGTATTTGGCTATTGAGAATGGAATTTGTTAAAAAAAGGATAATTTTTGCCTTCTAATTTATTGATAAGAATTTGTATATGCTAAGGACTGTAGTAAATGAAAATTTGCAAAGGTCTTGAGGAATTTTTTTTTTTCTACACTTGGTTTGTTTGTTTTTTCACTTGTTAGTTAGTCCTTTATCAATCTTTGGGCTAGGAACTGACCTTTGGCAGTGTATTTACAGGGGAGAAAATTTCTTTTTTTTTTCCAGAGGAAGTAGTTTAGGAAAAATAAAACTGCTTACATTATATTCTTTATTCAATTTTGAAAAAACAGTTTTGTGATTTAGATTTGCTACTTTATCCATTATAAGACTGACCTTGAGAAATTTTGTTTAGTCATATTAAAATATTGAGTTTGGCATATTTGAAGATGGTAACTCAAAGGGCAGCTATCTCATCATCGTTTTTTGCTTTATAATTCTCTGTGTTCTTGAAATTGGCTGATTAAACAACTCTTAGAACACTTTTTTCCTCCTTTTTTACAACTTCTATTTTAACTAAACACATTTTGAATATTTGCCCGTATCAGTACATATAAATCTATGGAGTCTAAGCAACTCATGTGGCCCTAAATAATTTCATTTCATTTTACAGTAAAGTATGGCCAAACCTTGTTTTTATGGAATACTCTACTAACATTTTACAACTAAAAGTGACCTGAAGTGTCTCTACTTTTAAAGCTGATGGTGAGCCAGTGGCAATAGCTTCAGTTATAATACCTAGTAACAGTCTTTGTTGCTCCTGTCTTAAAAAAGCAAAGAAACAACTCTGCTTACATACTGATCCCCTCTCCCCTGACCCCCATAACCTATTAAGCGGGTTGGTTTATGTATTCTGCAGATGTTTTCTTTTTCTTAGATATCTCCTTTTTTTTACATGCATAAATTGTCACATATTGGTGTGACTTTTGAACAGTTTTACAGTTTAATCTTTTCTCCTGTCAGTGACCCATGATTAAAACACAGTGCAGAATTTCTCAGTGGATGGTATCTTGTTGTCTGGTTTTCTCCTTTCCCGTTATCACGGTCTGTAAGACCTTGAAAGGAGAAAGCTTTAGAATCTGACAGATTATCTCTTATTTGCAGTTTGTTTGTCTGGGTCTTGGTAAAGTGCTGATGGTAAGGATAGGCCCTTCCAGGATATAATACAGAGTCGTGCAGTAAGTGATCCCTCAGAATCATAGTGGAAGGAGGTTCAGATGACCTCCATTGGTTATGCAGAATTCAGCAAAGGACTGGTAGCCCTGTCATTTTCTCCATTGTGCTCAGAAACTAGGACCACAGATAGTTAGGTGGGTGTGCTGCTGATGGTGGTATGTATGGTGATGTTTATATTCCTATCTATATATACACATATGAATGCTTCAGAATTTAAAGGAGAACTGCAGAATTATAATTAATAGATGGTTAATTAAATGTGTACTATGTGACATTTTAATTAGTACACTGCACATAAGCTCAGCTCTTCTATGGTTTATTTAATATGGATGTGTGTGCATTTTAATATTTTGATAAAATGTGGGATGGGCACTCCAAAAGTAAGAGTGCCTGGTCACTATAAAGCCATCCATCCTGTTTAGTGTGGGCTTTAGAGGTTTACATGATTGCTTGATTTTAGGGGTCTTTCCTTTTACTTAGGGCTTAACTTCACTAACTTTTCAAAACCCTGTTTTAGAGCAGTTAAATGCTTTTCTTTTAGACTAAATCAAATAATAAGTCTTTATAACCTACTTTTATTGTTAAGCTCTTTGTTTTGGTCTGATTTAATATTACACTGTTCTTACATGATGACAATAGTATCACGCTCTCCTTAAAGATTTATGAATTTACTCACTAAAATGAAATTTTATGCACGCTGAAGTTTTATGGTTTCATTAATGTGACATTAAATTTATTGCTTTATAAAAAGTTTACCTAGGTATTTTCTGTCTTTTTTTTTTTTTTTCCCCCCCCAGGATACCTTTTTCTACTCATTGGTCTATGACCCCTCAGTGAAAACACTATTAGCTGACAAGGGTGAAATCAGAGTGGGACCTAGATATCAAGCAGACATTCCAGAAATGCTCTTAGAAGGTATGTTTTTCTTTGGGTTTCAAGTCCTATGAAAGCATGTACTATGTCATGAAAATCAAATATTCTTTTCCTCATATGGGAGAAACAACTTTTAGGCTAAACTTGAAAAGTTATGAGTTCTTCCAATTTTAAAATACAAAAAAACAGCAACGAAATAATAATTTCATTAATTATTAATTTTTTTGATTTCACATTTTTATTAGTTTTCTGGCTGTGTGTCTCTTTTAAATACAACTTCAAGAATGTTCATGTTGTTGAGCTTCTGTTTCAATAGGACATGCTCATGCCTTGAGATCTGAGTGCCTGTAAGCCATCTATCTGAGAGGCCATGAAATCCAGTGAACAGTCAGTGGTTCTCAACCTTCCTAATGCCGCGACCTCTTAATACAGTTCCTCATGTTGTGGTGAACCCCAACCATAAAATTATTTTCGTTGCTACTCTATAACTGTAATTTTGCTACTGTTATGAATCGTAATGTAAATATCTTTTTGTTTTCCTATGGTCTTAGGCGGCGACCCCTGTGAAAGGGTCGTTTGACCCCCAAAAGGGTCGCGACCCACAGGTTGAGGACCGCTGAGTTACATTTTGGTGGGGGTTTTGGCAGATCTGGGTGTTTATGTACCAGAGAGATTCAGTGCTTTGCATTTTTAAATCATTTTCCTAAAGAGACATAATTTATTTTTTCCTGTTATAATAAATGTACACTCAAAACCTTTATTTTCTGATTTCAAAAGTAAAATATTCATACTGTGAAGAAAATAAAACACAAAATAAGGGAATATATAATGTAGGCAATGGATGCAATCCCCTTTCCTTCATTCTAAACTCATATTTAATTACTATGATTGTATAGGGTGTGTTTCTTTTGTTCACTCTTTGGCCTATATTCCATGCAGGAATGGTCCATGTGCAGTGGCTGGTTGCACATGCTATTCTGCAACTGCTTCTTTCAGTTAACAGTGTACCTTTAGCATCTTTACTCATGAATAGAGGGACTCTTCTTTTTAGTGACTGTACAGTTCTTAAAACTGCATAGATGTATCGTAATTTCCTTTTCTGGTCCCATTGATAGACTTTTAAGTGTTTGCATTTTTTGTTATTACAAATGATGCTACTAGAAAAATCACATGCAGTGTAAATATTTTTCCAGCATAACTTCTTCGAAGTGAAATGGTATGTACATTTTAGGTACTCAGAATGCTGCTTTCCCATTTAAAAAGACTATATTAAGTTACGAATGAAAGAACCAGATACCTTCATCAACACTGTGATGATTAGGGATTTTTTTCCCCTCCATCCCCGTCCTACATTTTGATATCTCATTGTGTTCATTTTTTTTTTTTTTAATTTTTAAAGTCGAGATTATGCTACCTTAATTACCTTTAGCCCTTCTGTAAACTTCTTGTGCATTTTTGGTATTTGGTTATTTGTCTTCTCATGTATTGACAGGAGTGCTTTGAATATTAAAGGTAAACAAATACAAAAGTATTTGCCTTTTGTCTGTAAATATGCAATCCCCCAGTTTATTATTAGATTTTTAAAAAATTTTTATGATTTGAAATTTAAATGTATTTTATGTACTTTTTTATCATATCGAATTTATTCGTTTTTTTCCTTTAAGGCAGCGGTTCTCAACCTGTTGGTCGCGACCCCTTTGGGGGTTGAACGACCCTTTCACAGGGGTCACCTAAGACCATCAGAAAACAAAAAGATATTTACATTACGATTCATAACAGTAGCAAAATTACAGTTATTGAGTAGCAACGAAAATAATTTTATGGTTGGGGGTCACTAAAACATGAGGAACTGTATTAAGGGGTTGTGGCATTAGGAAGGTTGAGAACCGCTGCTTTAAGGTCTTTATGATTAAGGTCTTTATTCACAAAAAGGCTCCCTCCACTTTTGTTTCTGCCCTCCGGTTATTAAAGCATACGTGTTCTTCCATAGGCTCTTCTCTCTACCTTGCCTTACTTCCAGAAAATGTATGCAGAAAAGTTCAATCAACAGCTACTCAGGATAGACTTGGTGAACCATAGTACACATTCATGTTAGTGGTGGGTAGGTGGCATGGCTGCGAATAATGCCAGGCTGCAGACTGCTTCTGCATTTTCATGAACTTAAGTACCAGGAAAGGTCAGTCAATAATGATTAAGCTTGGAGAAGAGAATGCTGTGTCTATACTCAACTGTGTTTGGACAGGTTTTTTTTTTTAACAGACTGTGAGTAGTGAATCAATTCATTATAGGCTAAGAGATTGCATTTATTGACATTCTGATCTGTGCAAATCAACTTGTCTTCTAGAAATAATTTCGGATGTTTATAGTCCTTAATGTTTGATGTTAGGCTTATATCACTGTACTTAGGCATTCACTAAATATTATTTTTAAAATCACTTGATTTTTAAATTATACAAATAATACCGCCATGAGTATAATGGATGATTTTGTACTCTGGATGTAATTGGAAAATACGTTCCTGAACATGGAATTGCTAAATCATAGGGCATGTGTGTTTGAAATTTTATACAAAATGCCAAATGCTTTTCTAGGTATTTACAGGTGGGTTTTTTCCTTGTTTTAATTAGGTAAAATTTATAGGTAGTACATACATTTCACCCTTTTTAGTGTACAGCTCTGTGAGTTTTTGACACATGTACATGCTCCTAGTGAGGTAGTTCAGTAAGTCCAGCTGTGCATGAGGCAACAGCCAGGAACGCCCCTCCTGCTCCTGTGTGACAGGCACCCGACCCGGCCCAAGTCCTGCGTCCCCTAACAGCCCTTAGGGGTGTAACAACTCCCTGAACACTGATCTCCCCTTTCTTCAAACCTTGCAGACCTGTTGTTCATGTAATCTTTTATGCTAATTTTATTATTTGACTTTTAAAATTTTGTACTGCCTGAGTCATTGATTCCGTGGCTCTCCCATGATCACTGAGCAGAAGTCTAGGCATGTACAAAGTCTGGAAATTTTTGTGTATTGCTCATGTAAAGATAAACGCTGAACCAAGTAATGAAGTTGAGATCTTTCGAGTAACAGTGGGCAGAAAAGTCAGATCATGGAATCTCATGTGTTCTCATTTATCTGAAAAACTATTTAAATATAATATTTGTCCCTGAAAAGCAAAAGGCTAGTTAGAGTGATGTAATTTGGAAAGCATATCTACCTAGCTTAGAATTTAAAAAAAAATATTTTTTTTTTTAATGAAACAGTAATCCATAAAGTGCAATAATTTATCCTGTAGCCCTTCTCCAAATGGACTTGAGGTTCTTCTAGGTAAGAGGAATGATTCTTAACAGCTTGTGGCATTTGGGGCTTTATGCCAGTTATCTGACAAAGGCATTCTTTGTATTTAGAAAATGTGACTATTCACTAATATAATAGATGTTACAGTTCATTAACAGTATTAATTGCCTTTAACATAATAGTTCTTCTGAGTGGTTTACAAACTTTATTCAGGCAATAGAACCCTTTCTTTAAATGAAATATAACACAACATGACGTTAAATAATATAAGAAAAATTAGGTGGTTGTGGGTGAGGTGGGGGAGAAGACCCCATTGAATCTCTTGAGGTGCCCTAGGGAACCATAGGATTCAGAGAATTACAAGTTGAAAGCTGCTTTTCAGTACACCATACCTTAGAATCCCACCTTTTCATTACAGTCAAAGTTCCCAAATCAACTTTGCGCAGTTAAAAGTGGTCATGATGAGCCACTTTGTAACACAGCATAACAAAGGGGCTCCATTGTATTCTCTTTGCTTCTTCCCATTTTTTAAATCTTAAAGTTACTTAATTGTAAATAATAGGAATGAATGTGGTGGATAATGCAATTATACTAGAATAAAAAATAACGGTCCCTGAGATCATCCCTTCTAACCCGCTATTAACTGCTGTTATTAATTTAGCATATTCTCCCAGACAGTTACACAAATATTACATAGAGATCCATGAAATTATATTCCATGCAGTGTTTTAGTGTGTGATAGATGCAAGTTCATTTTATCTCTTATTACATATTTTAAGTAAGGCAAGTTTTTCCTTATTGTTTAAATTTTCTTAGCAGAGAGTCTAATTTCTTCTTACTGTTGAAGTTATTATCAATTTGTCAGTTTCTGCCCTTCTAGATTTCATTAGGATTCTGATTGAAATTGTATTACTGCTAAATATTACTTTGGGAGGAGGTGATTGATCATTTTATAATGTTGAGCAGTGTGTGGGCCTGTTTCTGAGGTTTCTGTTCTGTTTGTCCCCTGGTCTGTTTGTCTGTTCCTGCTCACTTTTTTTTTTTTTTAAGATTTTATTGGGGAATTTGGGGAGGGGGACAGCGCTGGGGAATCAGGGAAGAGGAACAGACAAGTTGCTGTCCTTTTGTTCTTCAGTCTAGTTGTGGAGGACGTTGCTTCACTGGCCCATGTTGGTATTATCATT